CTTCGACGAAAGCCCCGTGGAAGTAGACGGAGTCGACCTTCTGCAAGGCTTTCAGAAGATTGGAAGTTCGAGCAAGGACGAATCTGCGAGATCCAAATCGCACACTTCAAGACCTCAGCTGAACATCAGAAGCAATACTGCTTTGTTTTGAGGCACGTCGAACACCCCTCGATTGAGAGGGACAGACGAAGGATTTTGAATTCTGTTTCACGATACCCAATTTATGAGCTGTTGTAAATTCACGAGCGGCTTAGTCGGCGCACTTCATGATCGTTGAAAGGGAATTACGAAGGTTAATACTTTGGAGTTCTCATTCAGTGATTTAGGTTTGGCTTGTTCTCTTTTTGTCTGGTTACTGAACTTTCCTGGAGTTTTGGTTAAGGCGTGGTCTGGTGTCGATCTGAATTCCCACTGAACTGTGACGACCCTTTGATGACCTTTATGACTATATTTGTTAGATGTACATGAAACAATTTTTGATGATTTTAATAATTTTCCTTCTATTTTCAATTTTCTTACCGGTGCTTAGCTTGGAGTCATTAAGGATTATTCGAATGTATTCACGTCTGTAATTGAAGAATTTTATAATGGAATCTCTCTTAGAACAAAGAAAATCAAAAGATTTCAGGAAATCCTTGCCTGAATTCGTGAAATCATGAGAGTTATCATATGAGGGGGGTATCATGTCATGTGCTTAGGAAAGAAAGGCTTGTGGGAGACGTAGTCTGAAGACTAGAGCTAGACAAAGCACTCGAGGTCTAGCAGAGGCCAAAAAAGTGTCCACAAGTAAGAAGGGAGAGATCAACCAGCCGAAGGAGATATCAACCAACGTAGTCAAACCATAGAACCAGCCTTGGTGATGCTGGACGTCCCCATGTCTGGGTCCTCAACGCGAATGGCGGCGGAAATAAGTATCAGTCACTGCTTGCGCAGCCTCGACAACCACAACTGACGCACTGAATCATCTGATCCTCCTTCAACTGGGCTTTCGGCACCCGGCAGATACACGTTGCATTAAAATTTGTCTCTTTCGTCTGAATGCAGCGGAGACAGCAAAGCTATACAATCAACATGTCGACAGTTAGCTTATCACTTGTCTTCCACAGGTATTCTGGAAGGTCGATAGACATGGCTCCAGACAGCAACATATGAGAAGCTCTGATTAGGAACTCTGACAATACCTTTTCGTAGCCTTGTTTCTTCCATTTGGCGATGAGGTTGGCGTCCGCATAATTATTCTTGAGAAGCCATTCATACAACTGCTTTGATATCGCCTCTTTCTCATAATAAAGGTCGTATATGTATCTCGAGCCTACGAAGCAGTCAGCTGATAGCCATCGGTAGCGCCACATCAAGAAAGCTCACGCTGATGACTTATTTGGAAAATCGGCCATAACATCTCATGTTTCTTCTTTCCATCGTGTGGCGCGTTTTCCGCATCTTTCATTTTATTGCTGAACTCCAGCAAAGTGTCCTCTATATCATCGAAGCCTGCAGGTGGTGGTTTACGATTGCGCGAGGTTCGTATCGGAGGCATACTTTCGACGATGATCTTCTAGCGAGATCCAGAGAGGTAGTGCCAAGAAAAACGAGGATGGGATTTCCAAAAGTCTATGATTTTATGAGGAGTCTGGTTGTTTTTGCCTTAGCCTTCCAGAAGACCCGGTTGGGGGAGCTATTGTTTCTGAAAGGTAGATAATACAAGAAATTGTACCTCTCTAGGCATGGAAAAATGATATGCTGCCATTTCTGCCGCGCCACACCGCTCGCAATTTACATGCAAATGAGTAGGTATAGATTAATACTCCGTACACATTTCCATCTTCTACGTCTCAAACTCGTGATTGTTTCTGAGAAATTAACTGCAACCAGCCCAAAAGTTTCATATACAAAATTTGTTCTTCCCCACTATCTCTTGTAGAGAAAATGGATCCTCAGACTCAAAATGATATCGCCAAACTCAGCGATGCCGACAGAAAAGAACTGACACAATTTCTGGAAAACGAGGCTCAGCGATCCAATATTCAGCAGAGTAAGTGATCTCTTGAGCTACATTCGTCGTGATATTTTTTTCTCGCTCGCATTGGGGCAATGTTACGGTCATACCTCCGGAGTAGTATTTGGCTCTGAATATCTTTACTGACGCGGTGTCTGGGCAGCGGTTCACCATCTCGCCGATGTCTGCTGGAAGAAATGCATCACCGGAAAGATTTCTTCAGGCCGTCTGGGTCAGGGAGAGGAGAGCTGCGCACAAAACTGTGTCGAACGATGGATGGACACGAACTTCGCCGTCCTCAAGCACCTGGAAACTCTTCGAGGGCAATGATTTAATCAGGATTATAATGAGGAAGTGCATTCCACACAAGTCATGGGAACATTTGTTTATCGCTATGTAACCATGAGACAACCCGGATCGCCCGCGCGAAATGGGGACTTGAGTTCTGATTATAAGTCAGGAAATATAAAGTCTCACAATCTTGTTTCGAATCGTCTACTCATCCTGCCTGCGCATGGCTTAGATCTATCTGGTAACGAGATCAGGCTTGTAGTTCAATCCGACAGTCTCGAGAACTACGACCTACTTAACCTTATAAGTTCAGATCTACGCAAAGTAAAGGTCTGGTGAAATCATGCATTCAAGTAATTCTTTTTCAACTGATCATTCAGCCCTCATTGCAGCACTCTCGGCAAGCTTTTATGACTGATATTTATGAACCACCACGCAAAACAACAAAATTCGCCCAGACCCAAAGAAAACCGTTATCTAGACAATGGCAAGCTTGGTGGCAGCAATGTCCAGAGCATCCACATCAGGGGTTAGCCGAGCGAAGGCCTTCTTCGATCCATCGGGTCTGTGGAAAAATTAGAATAGCGGCTCCAGCAAAATCCTCGAAACCACGGAAACCAGTGTCCATACCTGACGAGGGTGTTGACCTTGACAGTGTCGACATCGTACAGCTTCTTGAGGGCCAGCTTGATCTGTCTCTTGTTCGCCTTGACGTCCACAATGAAAACCAGGGTGTTGTGCTCCTCAATCTTCTTCATGGCACTCTCGGTGTTGAGAGGGTAAAGGACAACCTTATGGGCATCGAGACGGGGCTCATGAGGGATCGACTTGCGGGGGTACTTGGGCGACCGAGAGAGCTGAAGCGTCTTGGGACGGTGGAAGGTGGTGGACGTGCGGATCTTGCGAGACTTGTGCGCCTGATTGAACCAACAGACCTTAGTACAGAAAATGGAATATAGGCTTCGCGGACGGATCAGTTCAACATACGCCTGCACCCTTCAAGACTGCCTTGGCAGCAGCGCCAGCCCTGTCGCTGGGCTTGGTCTTGCCTGTTCAATTCAGAAGCTGTCAGTTTCACTGGTGATAGACACTGAACCAAAAATCTTGACACAATTGAAGACTTCGCCAACACAGTCCAAATCACCGAGAGCGAACGACTCGAAACCAGAAAAAAATCGTTGCGCGGTCGTGACATGTTGCTCTCGCCGATTCGAAAATGTATAAATTGACTGGGCATAGGTGCAGTGATTTGGCGATTCTTATATTTCTTCATGTCCACAAACTCGTGCTCAAACCATCGACACATCTGCAATTTCAAGGAAACAATGAACTCGCTCAGATTCAACCTACCTTGCTTGTTTTCCACCTTAGGGGCCATGGCTGTCGTCCGGCGCTGTCGTGTTGATTGTCGCAGTGTCGAGAGTCGAATTATTTCGAGAGTATTCGCTTAGCGAAAACCCTACGAGCGACTGTGTGCGTCACCTGACCTCCCCCTCGCTGAGAGCATTCGATCTCTTGGCGCTGACTGAACCCGATCCGCTTTCTCCGTCTAAATTCGGCTAGGCCAAAAAACTGTATTAAGATTTAGGACATAATATTAATTAGTGCATTATTTTGTTATCCAAGTAACACTTAGACCACCTATCGGAAATTCACAACATCTGAAGTCCAGTATCACGCAGAATGTGGACATCACGTACATCCGGAAAGTGAGCGCTATTCTTTCTTTCTTTCTTCGACCCTTCTTTTCAAGGGATTCGCTCAAGTCGCCTCAGCCTTGGGCCACCGCAATTGTTTCCGTAAATACAATGGCTGCCGTCAAAAAGCGGTTAAAGAAGCCAAGACTGCTCTCTCACACGCGCCCGCCAACAGTTAGAGCGAAAAATCCAAAACTCTCAGCAAAGGCGTCCCGAAATCTCATTCGATCCCATCATCGTCTTTTGAAATCTCGAGCCCAGGCATTAAAAGCAGGCAACGAGGACCTTGTCCGGGAGATCGATGGGCGGATCCAAGCAAATGGTGGCCTGGAGAGCTATCAACTTGCCAGCAAATTGGGACAATCGTTAGAACGTGGCGGCGACTCGAGTAAAGTCCTTGTGGACTGGATTGCTCCGAGCTTAGCTCAGTTGAAGAATTCGCCTTATAAGCTACGAATGCTTGAAGTTGGGGCTCTAAGTACGGAAAATGCATGTTCTAAAAATCAGTACCTTGATGTCACGAGGATTGATCTGAATGCCCAGGAGCCAGGCATCTTGAAACAGGATTTCATGGAGAGGCCTCTTCCCCGCGCTGATGATGATCGGTTCCACATCATCAGCCTGTCTTTGGTGCTTAACTACGTTCCGAATGCAACAGGGAGAGGAGATATGTTGAAACGTTGTGTAGAGTTTCTGACGGAGACACCCCCAGCTGACTCCTCCATCGCCATCCGACCTAGCCTGTTTCTGGTCTTGCCGTTGGCATGCGTCAAAAACTCGCGGTACCTGACACCGAGTAGGTTGCAAGAAATATTGTCTAGTATGGGATTCACATTGGCGAAGAATAAAGAGACGTCGAAATTGATATTCCAGCTCTGGGAGCATGACCGACGTGGCAAGCCTCGGCTGTTCAAAAAGGAGATCCTAAATCCTGGGAAGACGCGAAACAATTTTGCTATCAATGTTCTATAAGAAAGGATGCCACGGCAAGGGAAACGAAGGCTATCAGAACGTGCTCAATTTGCAAAAATCATGCCTTGTGGCAAAACAGCCCACGCAGTTCCAATGATCGCCATGACGGATGACGTGACAAGGAGAAACCAGTCCAGTATGCGTTCGCCCATCCCGATCTCCTTACCAAAAATTTTCAGGTAGAATGCGAGAGGCAGTATGATGCAAATTGTGAAACATAACGCGGACCCCATCAAGGCCATGATTTTGTCGAAGGATGGGAATACGATAGCCATCACAACAATTACAACCACCACAAAGATGCGTATGGTGGCTTGGAGTGATCGGCGAAGGGTTTCTGTCAGCCCTTCATGATGATCAGACATCGTGTTGTGGCGCGGTTCGGGTCCACAAAGAACTTCAACAGTGGCGACTAGAGGCCGGCAGCTAAATCTCATCAGTTCCTTGTCTTAGGGCGCCGAGAAGCTATCCATGAGGTTCACTCACTTTAAGGGCACTTTGGTGATCGGAATGATTGCAATCAATACTATCACACAGATAGACAGGGCCTGGGGATATTCAGTCGTCAGCAGCACGTTGGCTGTGATTTCATCTAAGACACCATCGCCGAACATCAACCATCCCACGATAGCCATTGCGCAATCCAATGAATACTGATGATTATGTTAGCGCTCGACACGCCGGCGTGCTGCAATACATACTGTGAATATATATGTCGCCCAAAGGCTCTTGCCGTACTTATGAGGATGCCGCATGTCACGATAGATACACGGGAAGCACGAGTGTGCTCCCCAAGGGGCTGAAATGAGAATAAATCGAGTCAGCGCACGAGATTCGGACAAAGGAACTGGTAGACTTACACATAATAAGACCAAAACTGAGCGGAAGAGTAGCCCAGTTGTCAGGGAACATTGTGGTTCTGGCCGGTTGACGAAGGGAGCCCGGACTATCTGGTTTGACCAAACCGTCAATGAATATGATGCTGACAACTGTAGATACTTAGTCCATCTTGCGAGCACCGTTCAGAGGCAGGAATAACACACTGGAAGTACAAGACAGGATGCCTAGTATACTCGTGACACTTAGTAGCCGCAAGGGAACGAAGTTGAGCGGCATAAGCATAAACCCGCAAATTATTTTCCATTGAAGGATGCCCAGACCGGGTATCAGAGCATTAAGACTGTCGGCGAAAAGCACAACTAGGGCGACGCAAGCCCCTATCAGCTCCAGACAGAACAAAAGACTCGTGACAATCCGCGCATGATGCCCAAAGCTGATGTAGGCTACATCTGCATACGTCACAAGGCTTCGGTCAACGTCTAAGCATTTAGCCAGGATCTTGGCAGTGTACGAAGTCGTCACAGCAGCGAAGAGGAGGAACGATAACCCCAGGAGCCACCCAGCGTATTTCATTGCCAGAGGTAACGACAACAGACCGACTCCAATCAAGACATTGACCGAATTGAAAACCGTCTGCGGCACAGTAGATTGGCCAACAATGACACTCTCTCGCGTTCCATCATCGTGCTGAATTTGTTTGATAAGGAGAGGCTCACCATCGGCAACTACAGTTGCATTGCGATGTGCCACCTGTTCCCTATGAAATTGTATTGCGTTTCTTCGCGTCGCCTCACTGACCCTGGATGAGATCGTACCGTAAGATGTCCCCAGGCTTCTGTCCAATGATGAGCTAAGGATGGCGGTACTTGGATATCCCTTTTTTGAGTGATCAGTATTACCTCCGTCTCGTTCCTCGTCACCATGCAGCAATGGCCGTGTATAATCAGCCTCCTGCCTGGCTGATAAAGAGCTTCGCGATGCAAGATCCTCATTCCACCCCGAAGCCCATTCTTCATCCGGTCTAGCTGCCGCGAACGAGGAACGTCGAGGGAGAACTTCGGGAAAACAAGCGGCTCGTTGCCATGAGCGAGCAAAATGATCAATGCTGTTGGGGCCGCCCGTAAACCTGAGGCGCGCAGAGAACGAAGAGGACCTAGGCAAGGCGTTAATTGGGAAACGTTCTATGAGCGACTCGATCGTGATATGCGTCACCTTTGTCTCTGTAAATCGTAGTCATTGATCGGACTGCCATCGTAGCTCGTTGGGCTGGCTTGGCTGTAGGCATCGGAATCAAAAATCCTCCCTTCATATGACTGCTGGTCATTGCTGCACAAGTCTCCGTAATTCTCAGCGGTCGACAATGGTTGCCCCTGCATTGCTCCTTTTTACTTTCTCTTTTCTATTGTATCCCGTCTGGCAGAGTTTCTCCCACAGAATATTGGTTGGTGGACCGACGAAGTTGTAGATACGAATAGATAGAACCGAGTCAACAAGGTATTAGCTGTCTTGGTCCTCCTGAGGATAGATGTGCAAATCCTGGATTATTGGCTGCTTGAAGACTGTATCGAATGTACCGACAAGAGCATATATATAATGAGGAGAAAGCAACATTAGACGAATATGCATTGTAGTGGTTTAGATAAAAGCTACTCCGTAGAGCAGGCTTGGTGAAGTGGGGTCTAATATCAGTAAGTACGGAGTACCTTACCTATGTTGGCAGATAAGAAGCCACCGCATAACATGACCCAAGAATTAATCATCATAGATTCAGTTAATATGGTATTAAATATTGATAAACGACAGCAGAGCATGAAAATGAGGGTGAAAACCAGAAGATCACAGGGATTGATCATCGAGAATCCTAAACAGAGCGAACCTTGAGCTCTGGTATTACGGAATTCAAAGAGCAACAAAGAGATGATTATCAGAGCCACGAGGACAGTTACTGGAGGAAAATCCAGTTCCCTGAACCACCCATCCTCAAAGGTCTTTTGTGCATACCTATTATTACTTGCATGAAGTACTCCGTACATCAAGATGGATAATATCATTAAAGTACGTTATTGGTACAACGTTGCTCGCTGTGCCTCCAAGATTAGGCTTATGTCATCCAGGAAAAATAGGCGACTGACCCATATTATTATTACTCATTCGTCTTATTATTGTCTGTTCCCTGCCACCCCACGGTGCCTGATGAAATTTGCTCCAACACCCCGCTGGACCTGGACGGCAAATTGACCAGCTTTAAGGTATGTGACTCGATTACTCCTCTCAGTCTCTTCTTCTTCGTCTTCTTCTCTTTTTTTTTTTTTGCCTCATCTGATTACGGATACGTCCTTTAAAAAAAATCAAGAGGCGAATTCTTTCCGGCTTCTCTGCCTTCCACCGCTAATAATAATCTTTGCCAGCATTAGACTGTCAATTGTGAACCCTATTCTGCCTCTGGTCGTCAATTACCGTCGCCTCGCCCAACATGAGCGCGGCTCAGCCGAACGAAGCTGAGAAGAACATCGAAATATGGAAGGTGAAGAAGCTTATCAAGCGCCTTGAGGCCGCTAGGGGAAATGGAACCTCGATGATTTCTCTTATCATTCGTGAGGCTCCTCACATCCGCCCTTTTGCTCGACGTGTCGCTAACGTGTATCCTCAGCCCCCAAAGATCAAGTCTCACGAGCGGCAAAGATGTTAGCTGAAGAATTTGTATGTCCAATTCCGTGGAGTCCATATTTATGTCTAACTGCTCACTGACGGATGTGGTAGGGTACCGCTTCCAACATTAAATCTCGCGTCAACCGCCTCTCCGTCCTTTCAGCCATCACTTCTACGCAGCAACGTCTTAAGCTATACAACAAGGTTCCTCCAAATGGCCTCGTGATCTACTGTGGTGAAATCATCACGTCAGAAGGCAAAGAACGAAAGATCAACATTGACTTCGAGCCATTCAAGCCTATCAATACCTCGCTCTATCTTTGTGACAACAAGTTCCATACAGAAGCTTTGAGTGAGCTCCTTGAGTCGGATCAGAAGTTTGGCTTCATTGTCATGGATGGAAACGGCGCCCTCTTCGGCACACTGAGCGGAAATACCCGAGAAGTCATTCAGAAGCTAAGCGTTGATTTGCCCAAGAAACACGGTCGTGGTGGTCAGTCTGCGTTGCGTTTCGCCCGTCTGCGTGAGGAAAAACGTCACAACTATGTGCGCAAGATTGCCGAACTGGCTGTCCAAAACTTCATCACGAACGACAAAGTGAACGTTGCGGGCCTGATTTTAGCAGGTTCTGCTGATTTCAAGAATGACCTCAACCAGTCAGATATGTTCGATCAGCGTTTGCAAGCCAAGGTCATCAAAGTCGTGGATGTCTCTTACGGCGGAGAAAATGGTTTCAACCAAGCTATTGAACTCTCCTCAGAGACTTTGAGCAATGTCAAGTTTGTCCAGGAGAAGAAGCTGATTGGCCAGTACTTCCAGGAAATCAGTCAAGATACTGGAAAGGTCTGCTATGGTATTGATGACACTTTGAAGGCGTTGGAACTCGGTGCCGCGGAGACTCTCATCGTTTATGAGAACCTCGACGTGACCCGATATGTTCTCAAGACGTCAACTGGCTCCGAAGTCGTCGTCCATGCCACCAAAGCTCAAGAAGAGAACCGAGCGTTGTTCACCGACAAAGAGACTGGCACTGAGATGGAAGTTGTTGAGCAGACTTCTTTCCTCGAGTGGCTTGCCGAGAACTACAAAGATTTTGGTGCTACACTGGAGTTTGTTTCAGATAAATCCAGTGAAGGAAACCAGTTTGTGAAGGGATTTGGTGGGATTGGAGCACTCTTGCGGTACAAGGTCAACTTCGAACAGCTTGCCGATCTTGATGACGAAGATGAATTTTACGACGGTACGTCTTGAACCCTAAAGAAAATTATCATGCATGCTAACACAGGGCATCTATGCAGATTGACGGTTCAGCGGCCTCGCAGAGAGCGAGGATGAACGCCCAGAAGTTCCCAATATGGATCTTTTGACGGCTCGCCCTGTTGTTCGTGAAGGCGGCTTTCATGGTGAACCCATGGCTACCTTGGCACGTACCGCGCTGTGGTCTGGACAAAACTCTATAAAGCTGCTCAGAGGTTTGTCTACAATCCATTTCCGACATACACTTTGGTCCAGGAATCGAGTCTGACAATCGCGCATCAGGGCCATCCAAGCTCCGTAACATGGTCACTGAGGCTACCTAGTTTTCTCTGGGTCGGCCCGAAGTGTACTTCGCTGAAGAATGGTGGATCTGTTGTGCAGAACTCAGCCGTTCACAAAACATGGTCGAGCTTAAGAACTAAGCTGGCGAGATTGAGATTGTTCTTTTCTGGCACAGTTTACTGGGTCGAAATTCCTTCCATTTACGCTCCTTATTTCTGCGTTCTCTGTGTGACCAACGGCAACTAGCAATGCATCTCGGTATTTGCCAGACTGGCTCTGTTCGCTACGAAACACGAATGTCTTCCTCTAAGAAAGTTGCCGTTCCGTATATAGAAAATCATATCTGTGCTTTCCAGGGATGTCAGATGAGATAGCATGTACCATGTATCAAACGCTGCTAGTTGAAAGCTCGTCTTTCCAAGTGCCAAGATGCCTGCAGCCCTCAGTAATCTGCTGCATCTTATCCAGAATTCTAGTAACCCCCTGGCTATTCTGGTCCGTAGGGAATTGCTGGCATTCGACAAAGAATACATATTGCCAAGCCCTTCTCTGACTCGGTCGCGTGTTGATGCTGGTAAGATTCATACCAAAGTCCTTGAATATCAACAGAGCGTCTGCCAATGCCCCTGGAAAATCCTGACGGATTCTGAACGAGATCAGAGTCTTTTCCGCAGACTGTGCGAGCCGGGGTTTAAATTCGACTGAGGGTGCCTTCACAGCGTCAAATGGAAGCCGGGCTGTACGTTCTGACTTTGTGTTCCTCAGAACGAGGAATCGCGTTGTATTGTCGGCCTTGTCCTCGATATTTTCCGAGAGTACATCTAGGCCGTGGTAGTCAGCAGCGAATCGGCTAGCTATTGCACCACTGTGTTCTTCTGTCTCAA